CCTGGCTGCACATTTTCCTAAAACTCTGAGAAAGAGTTTGAAAACCATTTCATTCAATTATTTCCAGGCCTGATATTCAGTGATTTCAATCTTTATTCCTTCAATAAGATGGTGCCCACCAACACTACTTGGAATCACCATCATTCCTGCTCAAAAGGCCTTAAGAAAATGTGGTAGCTCTGGCGATTACTGCAGCCATTGCAGGTCATACACACTCCCAAGATGGTGGTCCTGTCCTAGTCTTTCAGTCTTCACCATTGTTCAGACAATTGCTATCATTCCTGGCAAATGCAAGCAAAGGGCAACCATGCAATGTTGGTGACCTGCCACCTTTTGCAAGTGGCCCATGAGGATCTGGTCTCATATATAAACTGACTCATACCAGTTCAATAAACACTCTTCAGAATAAGGTGGCACATCACACAATAAAATAAGAGTTGCAAATAAATGGGGAATTTCAGTGATAAGATTTACTTAGCTCAAACTTCTTTGCCTAAATGGCATTATTAATAATTCACCCTCCATCACCCCAGAATGCTTTTCTGATTTGACTTTAATTATTGTGATGATTGTTTAATTCAACTGCAGCTTGAGTCTACTAGACAGATTAATATCTTGAGCAATAAACCAATGAGACTTTCTTCTCCCATCTATCTCGCTCTTTTTATCCATGATGGTAGCAAACAGATAAATTAATGTGTGTTGAAACACCAAGGATTTGTCATTTCCTTCCTTATTTATTTAATTATTCTGGTAATTCGATTTTCTTATTCATAAAATATTATATATATATATATATATATATATATATATATATATGGTATATTTAATATCTGAATATATACTTGTCATAAACAAACAAAAAAACCAAACTCACTGCCATAGAGTCTATTCCAACTTATAGTGACCCCCTTCAGGTTTTTGAGGTGGTAAATCTTTATGGAAGTAGGTTGCCATGTCTTCCTTCCATGGAGTGGCTGGTGGGTTTGAACCACCAACCTTCTGGTTAGCAGTCAAATGCCTTAAGCACTACATCACCAGAGTCATATTCCTCCCCCCAAAAATTGTGTCCTCCCAAAAATACATGTTAACTTGACTAGGCCGTAATTCTCAGTGGTTTGGCAATGATATGATGATTTGGCACTCATGTTATGATAGAATCATCCCCTATGATGTGATGTGATCAGCCAATCAGTTGTAAGAGGATTAGGGTGGGATGCAATGCTCATACTCAAGTCACAGGCCTGATCTGATGTAAGGAGAGCTTCTCTGGGATGTGGCCTTTTATCTTCCAAGAGACAAAAGAAGAGAGAAGCTAGCAGAGAAGGAGCAATCTCAGTACCACCAAGAATGAACAGCTGGGAGGGAAGCATATCCTTTGGACTCAGGGTCTATGTGCTGAGAACCTCCTAGACTCAGAGGAAGACTGATGCCAAGATACATGGAGCTCTCCAAGGAATACTGGGCCATCAATTTTGAAAAAAGGCAAGGACCTTCTCCCACAGCCAACAGAGAGAAAGCCTTCCCCTAGAGGTGACATACTGAATTGGAACTTGTAGCCTCCTAAACTGTATGAGAATAAATCTGTTAGTTAAAGCCATCTACTTGTAGTATTTCTGTTACAGTAGCACTAGGAAAACTACCCTTTTGGAATAGCAACTTGGTTTGCTCCATGTACTGTAAGTTCACGGTTAAGAAACTATCTCCTATTGCAGTGTTGGCTCCACTTCTTCACTGGACACAGAGTGGATGGTCTCTCCTAGACATCCCCAACCCTCACTCTGCTCTCTATATAGTCTTCTATAGGTGAAACCTTCCCAGCTCTTTTGGTTCTTTACCCAGTCATCATAGATTCCATTTAAGATCCAACAAATTCCATTATTGAGCAATGTGACAACTCACAATACTCTCCTCTGTAAAAAGGGTATTTTTCCAATTTTCCAGCACTAGATAACTAAGACAATACCATATTATATATTATGTCTGTAAAATATACTATATTATCTGTATATATGACAGCATTTCACTGTGATTCATAAGTTTTTCCATGGATAATTTTTCAGAAGTGGATGGCCTTGTCTTTTTTCCTAGTCTGTCTTAGTCTGGAAGCTCTGCTGAACCTTTTCACCATGGGTGACCCTGCTGGGATTAAAATACCAGTGGCATAGCCTCCAACCTTACAGCAACACAGAAGCCATCACAGTATATTGTATATATACTCTATCTGTATATACATTATAAGGAGCTCTGGTGGTACAGTGCATAAGGCATTTGGCTGCTAACCAGTTCAAACTCACCAGCTGCTCCTCAGAAGGAAGATGGTATGATCTACTTCTGTGAAGATTTACAGCCTCAGAAACCCAGTATCTATACTCCTCAAACCAAAAACCAAACTCACTGCCATCAAGTTGTTTCCAACTCATAGTGACCCCCATTGGGTTTCCAAGGCTGTAAATCTTTACAGAAACAGACTGCCTCATCTTTCTTCCATGGATCAGATGGTAGACTCAAACCACTGACCTTCTGGTTAGCAGCCAAATGCCTTAACCACTATACCACCAGAGCTCCTTGTATCTATACGATACTATATATATATATATATTTGTATATATAAACTATATTATGTATTAAACTGTAGCATAGTAAAAATAGTCCTGTTTGGGCTGTTGTGAGAATTCAGTGAGTTTTAAATTTGAGCCAAAGTAAGAATGCTCAAGGGGACCTCACCCAGCCCTCAGTGTCCCTGCTGGTCCAGAAGGTGAGTGGGATGGGATGCAGCAGTATTCAGTGCAGCCATATGGACAAAGGAGGAGAGGATGAACTTTAGGATACAATACATTTCGGTTACTCCCCTACGACAGGGATCTTCCTTTACCCTGAAATGGTGTGTCTTCAAAAGGTTATGTGATTGTGGACATATGCATTTTTCTTGGGAGGGAGGTAGAATACATAGCTTTCAAATCTTAACAAGTTCCATGATCCAAAAATAGGTTAAGAATGACTGTTTTCAATTTTTTTTTTTTTTTTTAAAGAAAGCATTTTTACCGTTTCCATAAAAGGCTGGTTTCTTCTCTCATTCCTGCCAACAGGTGACAGCAACTCACTCATTTAAAGTGACACTCCTGGGGGGAGAGGAAGGGCCAAAAGAGGCTAGAGGGCCTAATGAGGTGACTGTCACTGAACTTACATCTACTAGAAACCACACTCTTCAAAACTGTGCATGCATCGAGGAGTGAGATGCATCAGGAAGATCTCACACGAACATGCCACATCCAATAAGGTGGCCTGCCCCATTTATCAGACCATCCTGGACCCCCGGGATCAGAGGCCACCTTACATCTCTAAAAAGGCCTTCAGCTAACAGACCGGTCATTGACCTAGTATAGCAACTTGGTTTGCTCCATGTACTGTAAGTTCACGGTTAAGAAACTATCTCCTATTGCAGTGTTGGCTCCACTTCTTAACTGGACACAGAGTGGATGGTCTCTCCTAGACATCCCCCACCCTCACTCTGCTCTCTATGTAGTCTTCTATAGGTGAAACCTTCCCAGCTCTTTTGGTTCTTTAACCAGTCATCACAGATTCCATTTAAGATCCAACAAATTCCATTATTGAGCAATGTGACAACTCACAATACTCTCCTTTGTAAAAAGGGTATTTTTCCAAAAGGAAAAGACAGTAATATTTCCTATTTAACACTGTTTCATGTGTATTTTTTTTTTATTATTATTATTTTTTAGGAATCAGATGATAGTGCTTTTTTTCTTTCCATCTCTCAGTTATTTGAACCTAAGTGAACTGTAAGGAGAAGATGCTGAATCTGCTTATCACTTTTCTTACCACATAAGAAATCACATTGCTCCCTCCCCTACCCCCCCCCAAAAAAAATCAACAGTGGTGAAGCCTCAAAATAAGCAGACAAAATACTGGGAAGAGGGTCCTACCGTCAGCTGGAAGCTACAAGTTATGTTCCCGCCCTCTGGCCCAAGTCGAAGGAATACCTCTCCTCTCCACACTGGGAAGGGTTATAGTTCCTTTGGACTCTTCCACCGTGCTTGGGTTCTATCTTGCCACATATATGTTTAAGTTTGCAGTTAGAAGAGCCCTCAAAGGGAAAGAGTTTCTCCTTCCTCATGCTGCCTCCCCACTGTCTATTTACAGCACCACTGTCTTATTCTTCTTCTTTCTTCCCAACAAAATTGAAAATTTCATCACCAGTGTCAGAAAATTAAACCCCAGGGAGCAGAGCATAGCTCAGAGCATCCCTTCCTTGGCAAACAGCCAATCCTTTAATGTAACTTTGCAAACCCTCTCTGGTTTTCAGAGGCTTAAAAGGATGCAAAACAGAGGCACGGTTTTGACTGTTCAAATCTTTCTGACTGCAATTCAACTCATACATGCAACTGATTAATAACAAGCACACAAACAAACATACTTCAATCTGGAGACTGGTTTTATAAAAGAAAGACCTAGCTCGGCTGTACATTTCCCGAGCAGAGAAAAACAGCGCACAGTGAAAAGATCCTTCGTTCCATGGCTCGGTCTGAAGAAGTGTCTGAAAGACCATTGTAGTATCATCTCTCTTCACAATGCAAACACCAGCAACACAGTCAAGCAGCTCTCGGCTCTGTGTCTGCACCTCTCTTTCTCTTCCCAACAATGCACAGGATTGACTCATTAATTTAGTTTCCAAAGCTTTTTCTTTTGAAATGGATCAATACCCAGAGAGAGAAAGCATAACTCCACTCCTCACACTAATCCTAATGAGAAAATCCAGTATCCCAGTATAAAACACATCAAATACAAATCTGTTAATGCCCAAGAAATGCATACAGCCTTTTGAATACAGAATGTCTCGCATCATGGGAACCTTGACATGCCTGCTCTTCTACATGTCTCTCTTCATTTATAGTTTTCTCAGAAGATAACAGGACAAGGCTACATTTTAGCTCAGGCTGCTCACACCAGCAGACAGATGTGTAAGACTGAGGTTTACTCACCAAGCTCCCGTAAGTTCATCTTTCTGAACTACAAATACTGCTTCTAAGCTGCCGCCGCCACCAAACAACTTAGAGCCGTCCCCCAGAAGAACAATGTGCTGGAACACCAGATGGTTCCCAAGTCACCTTGTTCATGAAATAGGTTTCCAGTTGAGCCATGTGAACAGAGACTCGCCACACACCTTTGAATGGTCTACACTTCAAATTCAGTAGAATAAGCATGTCGCTTTGCTTATGTTTATGGAGCTGGAGCCCAGGGGTGCTCCGATTGGTAAGCGTCAGACGAAGATCAGCCAATCACAGGGAGCCTCCATTTCAGGGAAACTCCTGCTCATTTATTTAGCATCTTCAGAGATCACCAGCTTTTCTAGAAAGGGCTTGGCTCTGATAGTATCACAAGAGAAAAAAATAACTTCATTTCTATTTTAGCACCCTCTGCCCTTCTGTCAATAAATGTACAGTTTCTCTCCTTGGTGCTCCTCAGGATCCTCACTTTTTCCTGCAAAGAACTAATAAGGAAGAGAAAAGAAACAAGAAGAAAAAAGAAAGCGGTGGCAATGGGCTGGAGATAGTTCATATTCATCAGCCTCCACCTTGTTGGGAGAAAGGAGGGGAGAACGCTGGGCTCAATAATTACTGATTCTGTTGCCATGGAAACAGACTGGCTGCAGTGAGTTGGATTCATGTAGAACATCTGCTGCCAGACCCATAATCAAATGCAATCTCATCTCTTTCCCTCTCCTTACTTTTATTCGATTCTGAGTTTGTTTTCTCCTTCCTTCTCTTCACATATAGTTTTTGTCCAGAAATGTCATGTAAGCGCCTCACTTGCCACACACAGCGTATGCACGCCACGACTGTTCACACACCCAGCAATGCTGTGTGCAAGAGCAATCCCAGGAGGACTCACGCTGGCAGGATCGATACTCTGATTCCTACTGGTGATGTCAACAAATCTAAACAGCCCCTCCTCAGCCTCCACCTCTAATTAAATTTAACGTGACTTTTAATCTAAAGAATTAGGGGCGCATTAGTGGGTTATCTTTTTAAATACTTACTAATAGCCCAGAAGGCCCCCAAATAAAAGTTTACAATGGTATTTTTCAGAGAGCCCTGAGGTAGTCCCAAACCAGGAGACTTATTAATATTATGTAATCACTAAGTCTTTGCGCCCAGCTTCTTCCTTGTTTGGAGTCCTTGAGTCATGCAAATGATTAAGGTTTGGTTGCTGACCAACCTAAAAAGCTAGTGATTGGAGTTCACACAGAGATGCCTCAGAAGAAAGTCCTGGTGATCTCCTTCCTAAAAATGAGCCACTGAAAATCCTATAGGACACAGTTCTATTCTGACACACCTGGGGTCTCTATGGAGCCAGAATCTACTTAACAGCAACTGATTTTTGTTCTTTCTTTTCTTTCCTGCGTTAACACCTTGTTAAATTTTGGATTAATACAATCTATTTTCAGCCACTCTGACTTCTCCTTTGCTTGCTCCAAATTCTCCTGATTCTAAGACCCCACAGTTAATGCTACAGACTTCTGAATGAACTATTTTTCTGTTTAGTAGCAGGGGCTGCCACTGAGCAATGAATGTGTGCATGAGCTCCTCAGACCTGGGAAGGGGATCAGATGCTAGTAATGTCACTCAATAGGTCTGAGGGAAGCCCCCAATTCTATAATGGTCCATCAAATCTGTTAAGTGTCAAAACCAAACTCACTGCCACTGAGTTGATTACTACTCATAGCTACTCCCATTGGGTTTCCAAGGTAGTAAATCTTTATGGAAGGAGATTGCCCCATCTTCCTTCCACAGAGGGGCTGGTGGGTTTGAACGACCAACTTTCTGGTTAGCAGTCAAATGCCTTAGGCACTGTGCCATCAAAGCTCCTTAGAATATTGATTTTGGTTTAAGTTAGAAAGGAATTATTCTCTGTACCACTGTAATCAGTTACAACATCATCACACCCTCAAGGAGAACCTTCTCTTTCCTAAGCATCTTTGTAGGTTATAGCGTCAGCCCAATAACTACATAAATCAGGCTTTGGAGGGGGCTGTGGTCTACTATTTGCATGCCTCCAGCTTTTGAAAGCAAGGGGAACTTTCCATTTGTTACACTCTGCTATCCAATAAGCAACAGTAGCCCTGGACCTACCTTATTCACAAAGTACTCTCAGTGCAAGACCCATTTCCATCCTTCCCCAACTGCTTAGCTCTGGTCTTTTGACCTTAATGCTGGATTTGCTTTTTGAGAATTTGAATACTGGCTTTCCATTTTGACTTTGAGTGACATTATGACCTTGAAGGAACTTCTCACCCAAATTCTGCCTCCCAGGCACCCAATCCCAACATTGACACTTTTTCTCAGCTCTGTAATGACCACACCCAGGTTATGAATAACACAGATTTTCTCTACCATTTTATGGAGCCTCTCCTCTGATCTGTATCATAGATACATCCACCTTTGGCCCTCTCACCCTTTGAAGACTGTCCAAATCTCCCCACTGTATGAATACTGAACCGTACCATTTCCAACCAGGTCTTCCCTAAACCAAAATTTGATAATTTGTTCAACAAATATTCTATATGCCTATGTCTCTATTTAGGTCTATATAACAGGACTGTGGTGGTAATAAAACAAATTGACAACATTTATGCCTTTTAAGTGCCTAGACTCTAGTAGAGGAGGCAAAAAATAAAAGTGTAACCATAATAAGGGTTATTAAATAATGGCACATAGTGCTATGAGCACACATACACACACACAAAAAAAAATAGAGACTTAATCAACGAGGTCAGGAAAAACTTCTCAGAGGAAACGAATGTTTCGGACATAAGGAATAGCACATGCAAAGGGTCTATGCTACTGGTAACACGGCATCTTAGAAGACTTGAAAAAAGCTAAATGTGCCTGGATCACAGTGAGAGAAATTGGGAGTGCAGCGAGAAATGAGCCTGAAGAAAAATGCAGAGGTCAGACCAGTAGGGTCTTAGAGACCATCTAAAGGATTTTGGTTTTTAATCCTATGAGTGATAGCAATCCATTCATGTACTCCATTAAACAATTCTTTCCCCCACCAAACCACATAAACTCAAATTCTCCTTAGTATAGTTGATCTCACTGTCTTATTAGCAATACATCAATTTGATTAAAGTGATCTATATTTAGACATCCCTAACTTGTTGGGCTGATCTAGCTAACATTTACTGAACATGTAATATAGTTAAGATAGCTTTCTAAAGACTTTAACTGGATTAACCAATTTAATCATCATAACAACCTTATGCACTGGGGAGATGGGTAATACTTATTATCCCTATTATCATACAGATGAGAAAATTGAAGTATAAGGAGGTTAAGTAACTTGACCAAAGTTACAAATATAATAAATGGCAGAACCTGGATTTGAACTGAGGGATTCTAGCTCTAGTTTTTCTAAGTGTGATCCATAGTTAAGAACTGTATCAGAATCATTTGGAGTTCTTATTAAAATGCAGATCCTGGAGCCTAATTGCATCTCTCCTCAACCTGAATCTCAGAGAGGTACAGTCTAAAAACATTTTCCCAAGCATTCCAGAGGGATTCTTACACACACTACAGTTTTAGAATCACTGCTAAAAAGTATCTGCATAAAGGAGGAGAAGAAATAGCCCTAAATTAATGTTTAATGTATAAAATTGAAAAGGGCATATTTTTGAGAACAGAGGTCATATCTATTCCAATGATGAATATAAAGCACTCATGTACATCAGAACAAGGTCACCTTCTACTGAATGACTGCAATCTCCCATTGTATAATATGACACAAAGTGACATTAAAGTGGGTACGTAGTGCAGTTTGGGACTCAGAAGCTATGCTAGTAAGCAAATATATGATGAAAGAACATGCAGATTCCTAAAGAACATATTCACTAGGTAGTTAGAGATGCTATCAGACCTATCCGCAATAAAGTATACACTGTCATGGGCATTCTGTGAAATGTCATACATTTTCTCCGGTTTATTTTTTCCCCTAGATAATTCATTTTAAATACAAAACTGCAAAGTGGAAAAAGAATTGTTTTAGCCTTCAATCTGATCCACCCCCTTCATCAATCCAAAAGCCACAAGCAAGCTCTTGGGTTTACCTTGCTACATGGTTTTAGTTCTGAAAAAGAAGCCACTCCACCTACATTTTCCAGAGGGGCCTTTCATACAAAATCGTTATAAGGTCTTTGAAGAAGCTTCCAGGAATTTTTCCATGGAATCTTCTCTACTAGTTTGCTTCTGAGATCACAGACTGCCTGTTAGCTTAGCCATTATTGGTTATTTTGCCCTTTCTGTACTATGTGACAAAAAGAATAAAGCTTATGGAACTGTTAATGAATTCAATAAAAGGGAAATCTAGTTTTTATCAGCTTGATATTTGTACTGCTGCTTGTCAGGCTCCCCAAAATGATGATAAAGCTACTCTGCATACATCTAATGGACTTGTACTCCAGAGGATGAAAATGTCTTATAAGTAGTACATCCTCATGCTTCGAGCACATTCAGATGCATTATGTGTCATTTACAGACAGAAGGTAGGCATAGCATCAAATATCTGGAAAATTCAGAGAGAAACATCACCCCTGGGTACCTGAACAAAATCAGAGGAAACCTCTCCTCCCATTTCACCCCCGCACTACAATTTGTACTCTCTGCTCTGCGCTGGGTACGCACTCTCAGTACCATTTTTCCTTCATCTTCTTGGGGGCAGATTAAATCTGATGAAATTTTATTACTTTCCATAAATGTCATTTATTAAATATATTATTACTACATCTGATGTCTGATGTAATACATATACATTTGTACTGCTTTTTAAATAAATTCACAAATCAAAAAGGAATTCTGTTAGGTGACATCTAATGTATTTCTGAATCTGAAAATATAGTAACTATTGAATCATTTCTAAGCTAGCTACCCAAATTTTTCTTGGTCTACCTGTAGGTCCTAATTCAAATGAGTACCATGTACACTAATCCTTTAAAAGAGTGAAGAATTCCATTTACTGGACCACAGAGAGGTGGCACTAGTAGTTATTCCTTCCACAATCTGGACATCCATTTCATCAGGATGTATGTACATCACTGGCAATGAACGTGATGGTAATGATCCCCATAATTCATGACATGGCTACACTGGACCCAATTTCTGCTTGGTTTCTTCCTACCAGGGAGATCACTGGAGTCAAGTTGAGTCTCAAAGAATTTCTGAACAAGTAGGGTGTGATTTGCAGCAGGATCCCCTTCAACTATAATTTCAACCACACTAAGGTATCCTCCATACACACATACGAACATACACGTACACACAGTGACTT